GAGGCCTTCTCGGCCCCCCTGGCAGGACCCTCCGCTGCAGCAAAGGGCGCGCCCGTCCCTGCCCAGCACCCGGCTCTGTGCCGGCAACCCTGCTCTCACCTTCCAAACATTAGTTTTCTTACCTTTGCTGAAACGAAATGATAGTCTTACCTACTGTAAATCTTTACAGTATAACATTCCTGGTTCCAAAGTCATAAAAAGGCAACAAATGCTGCTGTTTGCTTCCTGACAGGAGCATGTTACGACAACTTAAATATCATTAACCGTTGAAGAACCAATGAAATTATTAATTTAATACCAGAGGCCAGCAAGGATGTGGGCAAGATCATCAAGAAGCCATATTTCACCCTTTGCACCATTTTTTCTTGGAGCTTATGGCTCCATTTCTACAGCCAGGGGTATTATAATTATTTTTAGTAGCCTCAGTTTTTCAACAGCCGATTTGCCCTGTTACTCTTTGAAACAGTGCACTTGGGGCAGCCATCCTGTCCACAGGCACGATGCACCACAACCCTGCTACCTGTTGTGCAACAAAATACTTGTGTACTCCTTTCGTTTGTTTGGCAAGCTCATGTGATGCCAGCAACATCTTGTATTATGAAAGACCATCAATCATCATCCCTCGGTCACTTTCTCCATGCCTCTCATGATTTTACTGACTTCTATCATAGACTCCTCAGTCCAGGCTAAAAAGAAACCTAGTTTGTTCCTAGCACAAAGCATGTTCCATATCTTCAATCAGCCATGTTATACTTTTTGCAATTCTAATCTCTCTCTCTTTGAATAGAAGAGAAAGGGAACACTGCATTATCCAATGTTTTAATGAAGTTTTACATTTTGTTCTCTATGCCTTTCTTATCAATTCTTATCTAACTTCCCACGTTGTACTTAACGTCTCAGAGCCTGTAATTACCTCTACTGGTTTCTATCAAGTAACAAAATCTACACTTCAAGCAGGCCTAATTCAATGAAAACTTGTGTGAAATCAGGTATATTCAAACAGAATTGTTCATATGCTGAGATGATCTGTCAGTTTCCAAAACTGCAGCTGTACTCCCTACAACTTATACAATGAAGTTGTGTCCAAATGTGCACAAACATTATTAATAATATGAACTTCATTCTCAAGATGGTATTTTTAACAAGTTCCTGAATGTTTACAGACAGAAGTGTGATAATCCCCACAGATTTTTAGCTTGATAGTGACACAACAACAGAAAAGCAAATATCACGTGCTTTTGACAGTTTCCATGTAGTGCTTTTGTTAATGGAAGTGCACTCAATTCTTCTGTCATTCCAAATTGTAGTAAATTGTAGCACTAAATTAGTAATGCACACAAGCTTGACCTTAAATCATTTAACTAGGTAACTAATGAATCATTCTCTGTCCTCAATTCAGACAGCATCCTTTGTAGTACTGATAGCTAATTAACTCTCCCCTTTTGCAGTACCTAGCAACTTCACAGATTTGTTTCATACCTGTAAATGCTTCAGCAAATTAAGCAATGAGAACACTCTGATCTTGTTTTTTCTCTTAAGCCTAATGTTCAAAACATTACAGCCATCTATAAATAAGCTAGGCTACAAAATGTCAAAGTTGTCAAATATTTACTTGGTCTTTACCAATTAAATAATGTAACACCATGTTCCACTGAAAAATTGCTGAAAAATGGGACTGAACATATTCAATGAAATTTTAATATTACCTACTTTTAAAAAATAAAATACATTACAGTGTTTATGACAATTATTTTTTAAGAGCTATTGTTTTTTGTAGGTTTTGCACTCCTAAATTTTTCAAATTACAGTAATTTAATTGTTGCTTCCAACCTCTTTTCTCAATCATAGAATAATGAATTTATATAAGCATTAATGGAAAAGCATAATACATTTGTCTATTTCTGGACCAATACGCATCTTACTAAATAAGCAATATAAAAATATACCTAAGAGGATAGGATGCAATCACAGATTAAAGAAATTATCTCTTTTGTCATATTTTTAGACAGTTCTTTAATACTCCATTTTTTTCATGGGTTTCTTTATAGGATTTGGTTCTTTTGTGTAAAAAAACAAGAAGTGAAAAAAATCAACTCCCTGAATTAAGAGGTAACTTCTGAAAATACTGGCTTTTTTCTTACCCATTAAGAACCATTAGGATTTTTGTTCCTTTATTTGTTTATTGGAGGAGAAGGGGTGCAAAAGGTTGCTCTTCAGTACTTGTTTAAAAGTTCTCAGTGCATGTTAGTTTCTTGCAGGGAGCATCTGGGGGTTAGTAGCATAATCCTGTGTGAAAAAAATCAACTTTGCATACATATTTTATAAACGGCTATGGGCTTGATTATGCTCTTGGAACAGCTTTTAGAAGTTCTGCCCTTGCTTTCTTTGGAGGCCTTACATGTTTCCTAACCACTGACAATCATATGCCCACAGGATGACAGATGGGCAGGGGCGATACAGTATTAGGGATATTGTAAAAGGAAATAATTACTTTGTGCTTTTCTATCTGCTTTCCAGTTGGTGAGGTTTGTGCACCACAGATGGAACCATCAACAGTGCTACTGGCTGCTGTATTCATCTGCAACCCTTAACCCAGGGGCACTTTTTGCATCAATATATCCATACAACTACACTGGGTCACCAGCACTGTCTTCCCTCACCAGCCCTTGCCTGGACAGTGCTGTGTGTACCTCTACACCTGATTCTTTCAGTAGAGGAGGAGGAACTGCATTACTGGGAGACAATTTTCAAAAGCTGTAGCTGTATTGGTAGGTGTAATACACTTGAAGTCAGTCTAAGGAAAAGGGATGTTTTTACTTGCAAGTTATTATACTAAATAAACACAGACATGTGACTTATCTCAGCCCTCTCTGTGTTTCCTCTGTTCATGTGACTTAGGGTTTAGGTTACTCAGAGAAAGAACTCAACATTTCCAAATTGGCTTAGTTTCAGTGTATAATTAGGAAATGGTGAAGCAAGACAATGTGACTGTAATATATGTGAAATGGTTCATCTTGTCCTTCAGCTGATTTCTAAAACAGCTGCCCTCTCCTTCTATCCCAGAGGGCTGCTGTCTTATCCAGAGGTATCAAGGTTGGCTTCAAATTTGAATTGTCACAGAATCTATTTATAAAATAAGTTACAATTTTTTTACATAAAATATACAAGGAGATGGATAACAAATAGCTTTGTGGGTTGGATTTTTTTTTGCTTCAAATCAGGGAAAATCAGTCTTTTTTAACCATCTGGATTGGCATGCACTGCCTTCAGTGTTTTAGAACTATAAGCTAAGCATATTGTTCAGTGTAGAGGCTCCTCTGAAAGATTGTAAGTGGGAGAACATATTGAATGTTTGAGATGTCAATGTCTGTAGTCCTGTATTTGGCAAGAAGAGTAAGAGTGAGGGCAGAAAAAACTCCTAATTTCCTCCTTAACTTCATTATACATGACTTGTGATTTTTTTTAATCTTCTAAAAACAACATCCCTTGCAAGGCAGAAGTTTAAGAATTCTCAAACATTAATCTCTATTTGCATTGGTATAATTGCTTTTTGGGAAAGGTTGAAGATCAAATTGCTACAGTTCTGCAGGTGGGTTAATGGCAGGGGCTGTATTTGCCAGAATGATCAAACAACAGAGAAATTCACTAACACCCTATGGCTGCAGCTTGTCACCTGTGATCTGCAAGATTCATTGCGACAAAGAAAAGAGCTTGAGGATGTATAGAGTAGATTTTTCTATTTTGATTGGAGTGAAAAATAAAAATGCATAACTGTAATAAGAGTGTCAGACGCTGCTCCCATTACAGACAGACAACAGTAAAATTTGCCCATTCATGGGAAGTGAACATAGATTCCAAACCCAGGCTATAATTCATGACCTATATCTTGCTATCACTGGCCATCTCCAAACTAAAATTCAGATTGGAAACCAAAATTATATTTCTTGTTTCTGGAGTATTTGAGAATCAAAACAAATAAACACCGTTTCTTAGTCTGGGAATGAAGGACCATCCCAAAGCCAGGATAACCACTGAAATTGCAAAGGCACAGTAACTGTTTAACACACTATTTTAGGCCTTTCACTGGGAAAGTCTCAAGATAGAACATTTTATAAACTCACCTTTTCACCTTCATCTTGACAGTAAATAGGCTGTTCCCATGTGCAGGCAGACAGGCCATGGCTCCTGTAAGAGTTTATCAGAAATAGTTGTATCATGACACAGTTCTTGAAGGTGCCATCTCTTTCTGTCCTGTAAGTACATCTGTTTTCCTCTTGTTAGTTAAGAATATATTAGCATCCAAATACTGTAGGTGCTTTGTGAACATTTGAAAAACGGTTTATCTCCCAGTCTGTTTACAGGCTTAAAAAAAAAGAGGGAACATGGAAGAGGGAGGACACAAACAAACAGAGAGCTCCATTGTTCTTATGCCAGTTAAGTGCCTCTAGCTGCTCTATAGTAACATCAATTTTCGATACTTCTAACAGAGTTTGGACGATCCCGATGTAATTGTTCCATCGGCTGTTATGTGCGTACCTTCCACAGGATGGTGCTGGCTGGTCTGTCCAGCGGGCAGGCTGCAGAGAACTTCCTTCCTTGCGACGGAACTGAGCCTTTTCTATACTGCTGTGCTCATCCTTATTCTAGATATTGGGAAGAAGGAGAGTGAGGGAAACAAGAGTAGCCCTCTACACAGTAGTATCTCCAGCTGTGTGATTGCTCCACGTGATTATGCAGACAACATCTTTCCAAGTTTGTCCTCCACGGAGTTACACTGAAAAATGAACTTTAGTAGAAAAGCACAGGAATGCTTTGTGGAGTTGAGTAACGATTTACACTTAAGGACAGAGAGACAAATATTTATAGCGGAAAAATTTTAACCTGCACTTTTCCCACTGTAGCTCAGGTCCTTAGCTTTCTGTAAGGGAAACCCCTCTCCCAGTTTAACCTTTCACTATTTTGGATAATCAGTTTCCATACTGAATCACCCTGGATAGGAGAAGTGTTTCTATCTATTACATATCAAAATACAGTTTCTGATTTTAAAATGTGGAACATTTCTTTGGCTGCATATGAAAATGCTACTACAATTATAAACTATATGAAGTCATGGACCAAATTTTCACTCATACATTGTGCAGTCCATTGTCTGTTTAAAGTTTATTGCACATATTTATCTTTCTCTAGATAAAAGTGGAAAAATGCCCAAAAAAAACGCATCCAGCAAGGCCTCGGCAAAGAAACAGAAAGGCAAAAACAAAGCTAAGAAATCCTCAAAAGAACCACAGCTTGGTATGTAAGATACAGCAGCAATGAAACAAGCACTAATCTGGTCTCACATGACAACTACCTTAATTATTTTGTACCCAGGCTTTGAAGTGAACATGAGATAAATTAGAATATGCTATTTTATGTAAATGAGAGCTCTACAATTACTGATTATGGGTTTATAACCAATATATTGAACTAACAGTAGTTTAGGTTTAATAGTTTGTTGTGTCATAATAACAGTATTGAATGGGAAACTGGGAGGCTTCATATGTATTAATTGGGCAGATTCACAAAAGCCAACAACCCAGGGAGAGAACATCAGGCAGAGAGAGGTGGCCCAGAAGCAGAATTTCAGGTGCTCAGGATCACACAGTAAAGGTGCAACAACAGAGCTGGAAAATATACCAAAGTTTCACAACTTAATTTTGCAGTGCTTTTCCCCCCCCCTCCCCCCGAGATGTGCTGAGATACAACCTCATACGTGTCATTTATAAAAGTGTATAATTAATGAAGTGTAAGGCTAATGAGCCTTTCCTATAGACAAATGTCTTTTCTGGTGGTTCATGCACATTCTCGGAAAAGGTGGGAACATGCTCTTGCTTGGGTTTTGTTTGTTTTGTTTCACGGACTCTTTCTGCCATGACAGCTACCTTCCTGAAGTTGCTTTTGTGTTTTAATTACCATTTCCCTCCCAGCTGATTAACAGCTGTTGTGCTGCAGAGAATACTCTGCACATCAGTGCTAATCTCACCCTGTCCCACTTGGCTGGGAGGTTTGCAGCCCCTCTCTCAGGAGCTGAAGGAAGCCACTCCAGGGCCAGCCTGCCCACTGCTCTGCTGGCAGAGGGGACTAACCTCTGCTTCTGCCTGGGGCCGGGAGCCTTGTCTTTATCTCCTCTGCACAGGACACCAGGTAACTGTCCCAGGCAGGTGCTGCCACGTAGCATTCAGTGCACTTTCAACCATGGAAACTACAGAGTGCATCACAAGATGTCAGATTTCCCATGGCTTCCCTCATGTAGACTACCTGCTCAAAATAAAATCATTTTAAATCTCCATAGTTTCAAAATCTGTTAACTCCTTAAGGTACTGCCCTATTTTAAAAGGTTTCTCTCATTTCTGGTGTAACATGTGACATGAGTAGAAATTAGGGTTTTTTCCTCTTCACAGTTTAGTTTTAAATGTACATAGAGGTTTAAAATATTCCCCTAACAAGGAAGGACTGTATGTTTATAGCTACTTTGTTAGGATGAAAAATTACTGATAACATCATGTCATTGTATTTCAGAGGAAGATGAAGCTGATCTTTCTATGGCCAGTATAGGTAAGTGCCCATGACTGGCCTTCAAAGTAACAGTTTTGGGATACTTTAACCATTTCATGCTTCAATGTTACTAATGCCAGGGAATGAAAATGAAAGATTTTTTATAAATGGGAAGAATTAGAAAACTATGAAGAAACACAACTATTACAGTAGGGATTGCAGCACCACTCTCTGAGTAGCAGGCAGCAAGGAATGCTGAAACAGCTGTGGGTTTGTAGAATATATTTGTATCTTGAGTGGAGAGGAGCCAAGATCAAGGGAAATAAAGAGCATTACAAGAGAATTGCAGAGTGCAAAATGTTTGCATTTAGTAATAGCAATTGAAAGAAATGTTTTTTCCTTTTTTTTAAATCTTTGACCTTTGTCAAATCATTGAATTTGGTGAGATTATTGTAGCAGACTCTGTGATTTTTTTAATCATAGTTCTCAAGAGACAATGAATGATGTCTTTTGCTTTGTAGAAAAAATAATTTGCCACCTAGGCATCACCAAGCCCTTCTCTTGGCTTATGAGCATGAAAAATGCAATTTTAAGTGTGGCCATAGTTATGAGCTAAAGCCTGTCATTATTTGAATTGAAATACATGCTTTTATCTTAAACACCAAATAATTTTATTTTTTTCCCCCACATCTTTAGTTAGATTTTTCTTCTGACCTTATTTGTGCAGCTTCTAAGGATATAACTTAAATTTATAGCAGTGTAAAATTTATCTACACTTTACAAGAACAGCCCCAAAGATAACCAAAAGGTTATCTTCTTAATTAGCTTTTAACAGTACAGCTTTTATTGCTAAAAGCTAAAACATAATGTGGCAAATAAACAAACCAGGTCATTTTTAAAGAAACCATAAATCACTTGTCTTCCTACATAACCCTGTGAGCACATGGGTGGAAGTGAAAATTGCCACCTCATTAGCTTCACCGAAATGGTTAAGCTGCAATTAATTAAAACGGACAATAAGTGATCTCTCAGACGATGAGAGTCTTCTTTTAAAATTCTATTTACGGTGTTCCCGGAGCCACTTAGTTTTGACAGCAAGAGAGAATTCTACCTCCACCTAGTGGCAAATAAAGTCGGAAGCCCTAATGTCTAAACTTGCCAGAAACCTGTTGCTAAAAGCAGGAAAAAAACGCCACCTTGTACAGACTCTGTGAAGATTTAAACTGCATGCATGGTAACTCCTTAGTGCTCGAGACTTTTGGTCCTTTGTGACATTCTCATCACACTAGAGCTGTAGACTGTTACAAATTATATGGGTACAATTTACCATTAGAACACAAGAGAGAATTCTACCTCCACCTAGTGGCAAATAAAGTCGGAAGCCCTAATGTCTAAACTTGCCAGAAACCTGTTGCTAAAAGCAGGAAAAAAACGCCACCTTGTACAGACTCTGTGAAGATTTAAACTGCATGCATGGTAACTCCTTAGTGCTCGAGACTTTTGGTCCTTTGTGACATTCTCATCACACTAGAGCTGTAGACTGTTACAAATTATATGGGTACAATTTACCATTAGAACACAAGTGTGAAGCCTCTGTTTTCTGGAAAGCAGCATCCAATCAACATGCTCGTAATAGTGAGAAGTCCAGCTCTTTATGTTAGAATATTGAATATATAATACAGATCCTACAGCATAGCTGCAATCTGTTACATCTGCCACAATACTGAATTCTGCAATATAGAAATCTATTCCTTTAAACTAAAATAAGTACATATTTTAATTCTGATCATTACTTTGTTTTTAACTTGGACTTATAGCAGTAGGGCAGTGAAGAAAATAGACTATTAATAGACTAATAGACTATCTGCCCCCTCTCATAGTGGTCTATTGTATTTTTGCTTATCTTTAAAGCATGCTTATATTGTTTCATTGGACATTGAAACATACATCTCTGAAAATATTTTTTAGCATTAGCATTTGTAGACAAGGCTGTATGTATGATTCAGCATTTTTTAAAGTAACACCATATAAACATATTGAAGAAACAACAGTTACTCCTGTTTAGAATTTCTGATGTATCAAAATGCAATTGTTCAGATTTAAATTTATTTGAGCCATGGGAATAGTCTTCTGAAAAAAATTCCCATAAGAATCTGCAAATTATTATTATCAATTATCTCTAGGTTCTAGCCCTCCTAAGTACACTAGCCACATAACCAACTCTGAGGACTGTGAGATGTACAAATTTGTTTCTTTGTTCTCCTGCCCATTCAGTCCTGTGTGCACTGCAGAGGATGGAAATTGCATTCCATTTTAGTGCAGTTCTTGGTTTCTATTCTGTTTCTATCCTTACAAAATTTAATTTGCAAAAGGAGGTCTATTTTTTTTTCTCCAATGTATCAAAATGTAAAGTTTTTCTGTGCTGTTCCACACAGAAGTCCCAGAAATCTCTGAGATATCAAGAAGATAGGTCATGCAATATTGACTATAGCTTGTGAAGAAAGTGAACAAACAGACTGTGCATGCTACAAATGGATTGTGTATGCTACAAAATACCTAGTGAATGCCAAGGAAATCATACTTGGTTTAGTGCAGGATATGCCAGAAGCATCATACATGTCATTAATTTTAGTGATGACTATAGCAGAGCAGGTGCAGTGGAGGAGCAGCACTGAAAGATTTTAAAGGATAAATGTCAGCTTCATCAAACATGATGTATTATGTGATAGGCTCGCACAGAGATTTAGCTTCCTGGATGACAGAGATTAAGAAGGATTTATTGTTTTGTCAGTTCTTGTTGGCTTAGGTTAGAGATGGCTTCTCAAAACATGCTGAGCCAGCTGGTCAATATCATCATTTTGGATATATCAGGTTCAATTAAGGCACACAGAAAAATACCACAGGTTCTGGGAAGCCAGATAAAATATTAAGTAACTCAAACTAAGAAAACAGAACAAAACAACAATGATAGAAAGTCTCAGCTATTATCACAAAAGCCAGCCCCTTTCAAGTACTTAGAAATTCCATTTATACATGTCCCTAAATCTTTTCCACTTTCTGGTTTATCAGAAAGATGACCAAAGTGAACACCTAGTAGCCTTCTCAGGCAAAAGTATAGCAGCCTTCATGAAACATGCTCTTACTATGGCAGCTGAGTCCTACAGCACCAGCCAGTTGACAAAGTCAGAGAAGAGTCTCTTAGGCAGCAGGATCAAACTACCTGGGCCTGTGGTGATCTCAATTACTTGTATCTGATGTGTAAGCCAGAAGGCAGAACATGTCATTGGGAAGGAGGAGCAGTTTCATGTGCATACAGCTGACAGACACTGGATAACATCTTCAGACCGAGTGCTTGCAAAGCACAGTTGTTGGGTCACCCACCTGCACCCAGCCTCACTAGGAAGGGTGAAGGTAACAGTGCCAGAGCTATGACAAGAAATTGCTGTCTTGGTCTGAATTAATACGAATGAACCTAAGAGAGGCCATGTGCATAGAAAACAACACCTATATATAATTTATTGTCATGGCTTGACTCAGGATCTGCAATTAAACCAATGAGAACAATGCTCTTGATCTCCTCCTCAGGGGAGAGAGAGAGAATAAGGAGAGAGAGTTTCCAGATTGAAAATTAAACCAGACAGCTTTAATTATATACTAATGATAAAAGAAAATATGGAAAATATATACAAGTATGTGTAGGAATGTACAAAACCCCTACCACCTACCCCCAGCAACTCCCAGGGCATCTCCTGAGGTGTGAGCAGTTCCAAGATGTCCCGGAGCTACCGGAGAGAGGGCAGAGCAGAGAGGTATGAGGGCCAGGAACGCACGGGCCTAGGGATCAAAGGAGATGGATAGATGGAGTCCTCCCCAGATGCCAGCCATCAATGGAAAAAGAGGGAAGAAGAAGGAGCTTGATTTCCATGATCCCTGACCTTATAAGGAGACCTACATAAATATATGGATGGAATACATTGGTGGGTCACTTCTGCCATCTGTCTAGTTTGCTCCTCTCTATGGGAGGGTTGCACATATGAGTCTTCTGGTTTAGAAGTGTCTGAAGTAGCAAATCCAACAACCAGAGCAAAGTGTCCTTGGTCTCTCAGCAATATTTAAAAACATTTGTGTTATCAGTCCACTAAACAGAAAACTTATGCACTGCTTAAGAGACAGTTCACTGAAGAAAAAAAAAAAAAATCAGTAAAAATAAAATTGGCTCCATCCTGGCTCAAACCAGGACAATTCTCCAGCAGACTGAACATAAAGTGTCATTTCTGACTTGGATCTTAGGGACCTTGCCTTAGTCTTACCTATTAGTTGAGAAATAGAGTCAACTGCACTCTGAACTGGATGAGAGGAAGATGAGAGTCCAAAATCAGAAAAGCATCCTTATTTGGGATGGTTCTGAAGCCTTGTTTAAGATTAAACATTGGCTTAACACAGCGGAGTGTATTAATTCAAGGGCTCTCTTAAACCAGAGCCATACAGTTCTGTCCCTAATGTATTAAAAACAGTCCAGTAATGACTCTTCCATAAAAGTCTTAATCATCTGTTGATCAAGAGGTGGGAAAAAAAGCTCATTCTAGAAATAACATATTCATTGAGTAGGAAATGTTAGGTAGAGTCTTTTCCAAGATTAACAAAATGTAATATAATTTGTATTCCATGCCTTCCAAAATACCAAAAACTAAGCTGAGAGATTCCAAGGCACTCTGTTAGGAAATGGTAAAGACCCAGAGTTATTAAGGTATATACTGATGTTTAAACAACACTCTGAATTTGTTTATCATGCAATTTTGCTTTCTTTCATAGGCCACCCAGAAATCTTTCCTTTAGTTTTCACTACAAAGACCCAAGAAATCTTTAATTGCCGAATTGATGAAGATGTCACAGAAGAAAATTGTTTCAAACTTATTAAAAAAGAGGACATAATTCAGGACATGAAAACAAGAGCTGCAATTTCTGATTTCCACCCTGTCAAAAAAGTTGTCCTAGTATGTAGCTTATTTTGTTCTCACTTTCAGACTTAATGCTCCCAGTATTCTCCTAACAATAAGGTCTGTCCTTGTTTTGACTGTGTAAATACACCCATGCTGCAATACCCAAAGGCTACAGGTCATGGGCCACTGTCAACTCAAGGTTTCTCATGGCTCACCATGAACATTTTTTTCCTACTAACTTTAGGTGTGAAAATAAGCTACAAGTAATGTAAATGTTACTAATTTTGTTTTTGGCTTCCCCTAACTCTTGGCTTCTTTCTGAGAAAATTAAAACAGTTTCTTTTCTGTTTATTATCTGTATGAAAAGGTTTGTTGTATCCCAGACTTCTTATAAAATAAAATCCATCTGTTCTTTTCAATTAGCACATTAAATTCTCTGTAAAGACCACAAGATTAACCAAAGGTACTGAATTTACACTGGTGATGGCTTTTCCAGTCACAGGCTTATGTCTGTTTTGGATGTTATTTGCTTTCAGTTTTTCTCTAATTGTTTTAATTAAAATAGGAATATCCAGGAGAAGAACTTTTGGTAGTTTTTGATGCAAGTTTCCAGTATGGACGGAGCTTTTACCTTGTTGCCACTGAGGAAGCAAAGGAAAACCTTCTGAATGTAAGAAAATCCAAGTACACCACAGGATTTTTCTGTCAATGAATATTTCAGAATCTTGTCTCAAACATGTACTTCAGGAACAGTACTGTATTCATAAGCATCTGATGTGCTTGGCATGCCAGAATGTTTCTCTAAATCTGATAATGCAAAAATGTATATCACTGGAAAAATCTTTTATACAGGGAACGACTGAATTAAATTTTGCTATTTTACTTCAGAGGGCCAGTAAAACCCCCATCGCTTCATTTTTATCATAAGGGTTCATTTTGTCTGCCAAGACCCAGGTTTCTAACTAAGACGAAAATAAAATATACTGGACATCTTCAAAGACAACTTACACTTCTATATATAATGTTATATATATGTGTTTATATATATATATTCTTCAAATCATACTTTAACATGTTTTTGAGTACTAAATAACTCTAGATACAGAGAAGATTTCTCCTTGTACACTGGGGAGAAGGTTTATGGGCAGATTATATAATTTTTCAACATGAGGATGTCACCCAACATCAGGAGAAGTAAAAATTAAAAAGCCAATTGCAATTCCAAGCATTTAAAAAAGTAACAGTTTTATATAACAGTGATTTGCTTTCAAGACTGAAGTCTCTCTTTAGAAGCTAGATATTACATTTGTAACATTTATTAGAAAATTCAAATGCACTAATGAATGAATGGGACCTGTCCCAGTTGTACCCAAGGCACTGCATGGCCACACTTCCTGCATTGCAACAAAGGTAAAGAATGTGCAAATAAAGACTGAAAACTGTGTTTCTAGTTCATACTTACATTTCAGTAACTCATTTTTTAAAAAACACTATTTTGCATTGTTTGATGTCACAGCCTCCAGAAACTGCAGAAGAAGAAGAAAAGAAAGAGGGAACTCTGGAAATCCCTCCTTACAAGCCTCCTGTCTCCAAACCTTGGGTTTCCCTTGGCAGTGAAAAGGAAGTTGAAGAAGAATCTGTTAAGGACACTGTTAAAAAGGTCAGAATCAACAGATGTTACTCAATCAAGTAAATATAACAAAGCTAAATTTATTTTAAGTTTCTTAAAAAAAAAAAAACCTTCTGAAAATTGGAAGTTGCAATTATAGTTTTTCTTAGGGTCTTTAAAAATAAAAGGAGAGAGAATTATCTAAACTTTGAACAAAAACTGGCTGTTGCACAAACTTTTTTTAACAACTGTGCTCTCTTTAAATCCTGTAAATAAGGCATGTGAAACTCTACTGGACGTATCAATTCCTTAAGCTGGACATTCAGAAGTCCTGATCATCTGTCTGGTCATCAGCATCACTACCACTTTTGCCCAGTTTACTATCTGGCCAGGTTACAAGTAAATTCATTGTAATTATATTCTTAGGACTTAGTTCTGTTTCCCTGGTGCCAAATGAACTCTGTTTCATTATATGGATGGCACGTAAGTAACATGCAAGACTTTTAAGGGCTCTCTACCTTGGAATAAATATTAATAATAAACAAATACCACAGGTTATTGTAAGCTGACTTTACAGAATTACCTATTTGATTAACTCTACCTACATATTATACCAAGAATATTATACCTCCAAAAAATAAAACCACTCACAGCTGTCACGTAACATGTGACATGTGGAGCATCTCCCTGCATTTAACTGTCCATCAGTGATTTCTAGTGGTATTACCTAAATCCCTGTTCAGGGAGGACTGGCTAAATTTTGCTAGTTCTCAGCAACTGGACATCTTGCTTATATGTAAAAAGATGTCTGCTTGGTATAAAGTTAATTCACAGCCACTAAATTTAACCCACATTCATAGTCTGAAGTATTCTGTATTCTACCTTGCTGGCAAAGCCCACTCAGAAGTATCCTCAGCCTACATTCCTTTCCAGTTCTGTGGGAGGTGCTGGGCAAAAGTACCTGGCTAGGAATCCAAGCAATACCTCTCTAGCCTCAAGCACCTGCCAAGTCAGATCTCTTTTTCTTTCCTCACTCTAAGGAAACTTCTCACTCAAGTTCTTCTGGATCATCTTTAGGCTACTTTTCTCTCCTTAGGCACTGCAAGGGAAGCTGAAATACCCAAATTAAGAATTGCACTAAGAGGGAAGGGTTAAAAGTTGTGTCTTGGAAGTCAAATGCAGTATTACATAAAACCTACAAATCAATCCTTTATTAAAGGTGCAGTATTTATATTGCTTGAATTTGAAATTCTAATTCTCTTATCCTACTAGCAGTAATCCAAAACATAACCTAAAGGCAACTTCTTGTTTTGGAAATACAAACCTGTCTTCTATTGCTTACATATGTTATTTATACGAGCACTTCAGAATTTCAAAATGCAGAAATGTAGTAAACTCAGCACTAAAATCATCAACAGACCTAGTTCTACAATTATATGAACACTGTCATTTTACAGAACAAACTTTCCAACAACTTTCTTCACTGCCAGCTACAGAAATATCTCTTTTCAGATTAAGTTCATGATTTCTCGAGCACGCAGGAGGTTTGGAGCACCAATCACATTTACTGACAAGAATGCTTCGCAAGAAACAGACAGTTACATTTACTGCCCGTCCTATCAAGACAAAACTTTCAGTAATAAAATACTTGAAAAAGATGTGGGCACACAAATGGTTCCAAAAGTAAGAGAAGCTACTACTCAGACAAACTGGTAAGTGTAAGAAAACATTTACCAGCTTAGTTATTAAGCTACACACTGTTTCTGTCTCAACTAAAGCTATGGAAATTAACTCTTCTGGAGTTCCTCAGTTACGAACTGATTAAGAGAGCAGAACTGAATGCTCTGTTTCCATCTTTCTTCTTTCACTCTTTTCCAAAGAGTTTCTGGAGAAAGGGAATATACTTAGTTTTTAATTTTGCACATTACATGGGTTTCTGTCTTTGAAATTGTTTCTGTACTTACTCAAGTTCAAATTTTATTCCAACTGGTTAGGACTTATCAAAAAAATGCAGCCATGCAGTATTTTCCTAGAGAGTTGTCAAATGAAGAGAAAGAAGAGAGTCTGACATCTGAGGAGATGAAAGATTTTCTTACATCAGTATGTCTAAGGTAAATGTACTGCACCAATGCACATTCAAGGCTACCTGAAATAATAGAGAAAGCAAGAACTCTCCTCTGAGTGGGCCGTTGGTCTGGTCAAATACTGATTTTTTTAGTTTGTGTATTTTTTTTCCTCTCTTGCTTATTTTAGTATTAACAAAGATTAACATTTGTTTCTGAAAAGTAACATGGTCTATGTCATATATAAATATGGCTTTTTAAATAGATACTAGAACTGTTAAACTGATACATCTTTTCAAACAAGCTGTAAAGCTGATGTTTGAAACACTGCTCACTCAAGCAGAGGTTTATGCAAAAGAGCAAAAGTGCTGTCCTACAGCCCTTACTCATAGGACAAGTACCACTTACTGACAGTTTTGCACAAGAATTTGACATTTCACTGTACCTGGTCCACACAGAACTAAATTCTTGGTACAATTAATTGTTTATATTTGAATAGAAGAGGGTTTCCTTCCAGTGATACATCACCGAGGAATTAATACTTTATTTTTTTAATACTGTGATCATAATTTTGTGTAAAACAAAAGCAGTCTCTTTGCAGCAATATTAGTGATGCTAATACTGAGTAATCACATCTGAATTCTTCAAAGTGCTAACTGTTCTCTTCACAAAACAGCATGGAAATTGCATTGCAGCAAAATGAAATTATGAATGCTTTTTTTGATGACTGGAAGGCCCTAGCAGAAGATGAAAGCAGTTCTGGTGCCAAGCCAGATGTTTCTCTTAAAGCATACCAATCGTTCACAGATCTGCATTATCTCAAGGACAGAACTATTAGCTGTGTTTGCTGGCATCCAACCATTTATGGTAATGTGGTTAAAATACTGATTTGAAACTTGAATTACATGTATTATATGACCACTATAAAATATGTGTATTTAATAAAATTATCAGCCTCTAAATTAAAATATCAAAACTGATCTAGAATGTCTGAATTGCAGAGATAAGTGAAAAACAAGACAGACAAATCCTTTGTAGAGTTCAGACAGGCCATGCAAAGTCCCTCATACTAACATATAAGCAGAGATCATAGGAAAGGGAAATTTCTCCCTTATGAGGCTCATTTAAGTAGGGCTGCAACTGTGCCAGGTCCTTCTGGGGGCTCTGCACACCAGAGTTGATCTCCCTGTGGTTATTGTAGCATGCCAGTCACCTGGGAGGAATGTCAGAGCCAGAATGGCACATGGCTCTGCTGAGTGCCAGGGAGCATCACTGCTCCCTCCCATGGATTACTGCTCTACACAATAGTGCCTTTAAGCCTGTCTCAGTTATACATAAATGTGCCAGCTGCACAGCATGATGGCCAATACTGCAGCCTGTGTAGGAAATTAATTCAGCTACAAAATATTCGATTTCATGATGGGTGGCCAGGACTCTATGCCGGTCACATCATTTCAGGTGCAGTGTTATACCATGAAGGAGTGGTTCCAGAAAAGTTGAATTTTATCCTGATCCTTGGATTAACAACTCATTGCTAAATAATTTCTTCCTAAGCAGTGAAAATAAATACCTCAAAGTTGATCTGTAAAAGGGAAAATATAGATGCATGGTTGGGTTGGGTTTTTTTTTTGCACTGTATTCAGAAGGTGTAAATGTAAGTAGTTTAGAATAATTAATAGTATGTTGAAACTTGAGTTGTCTCTTCTGAGAAAATTAATTTTGTCTCTAAATCAGGGATTATAGCAGTGTCAGTAAGACAGCAGCTTTCTTATGAACAGCACCTTCCTGATAAATCATTGATGCAGAAATCAGCAATACTTTTTTGGAGTTTTTTTGACCCTATCCACCCTCAGGTAAGCAGGATTCTTAAATATGCCAAGTGCTTATATAACAGGAGAAAAAAACAACCATTGTCATTGCATTTCTCACCTGTTTTGTTTTTCTTCTTTCTAGCTAGTATTGGAGTGCCCTGGAGACATTTACTGCTTTCAATTCAGTCCAAGAGATCCAAATATCATTGCTGGTGGCTGCATCAATGGACAGGTGATAATCTCAGTTTAAGAATAAAATTGGTTATTTCTGTATTTTCTTACAATATAAAAATAAGGCTGAAGAGATTTACTCAACATCAATAATAGCACATAGTGTCACAAGACAGGTATCGCAGTCTCAGGAATCCTCTCATCCTGTACTGAAGTTGTGCCTGGTTATTCCACAGCTGAGCCACTACTGTATGATGCTGATTTGCAGTAGTGATAAATAGGTCAAGCTGTAAAGACTATTTTGAGTCAAGTGCAGTCTTTCAACTGATGGCATCAGACTGAAGAGGGAAAACTTAGGACATCATCAGTTCTAGTGCACAGACTTAATTTCTTCTTTTTCCCCACACCCTCATAAGTTGTAATTGAAAAAATGCAGATTAATATAAAGAACGAAATAATTTGTAATACACTCATTTTTCATTGTAGATTGTACTGTGGGATATTTCTCAACATGAAGAAAAGCTGCAAAGCGAAAAAAGTGTTGCTGATGGAACGCAGATGTCAGCTGTTAGTACGGTGAATGGTTTGGTGCTAAATATAGTGCAGCACAACAATGTCTGGGGTGAAGAGAGGCAAAGTTAGAATGCAAGTCAGTGGGGGAAAATGGGTGAAGATATCCCAACTTTAAAGGGGATAAATAATTACAATGAGAGACTGGAAAGAGTTAATTAAATAAATCTATTATCACTATCTATTGAAGCTTGGGCTTCACTAAGTCTGTTCTTTAATAGGCACCAACATATACTCAACTCCTGCCTTATGAAGTCTGTCAAGTATGTATAATGTTTGTTGCTGAATATAATACTGAAAATTATTCTGAAAGTTTATGGACAGAAAAAAGGTAGCTTGGAAGCTGAGAAGCAGATTTCAGTTGAAGGAGACTATAAGGAGGATAAGCAAAGAGAGACCTAGAAGCAGAGGAGGAATTACTAACATCAGTGGATGTGTGTGCGCCTTTGCAGGCATGTTGGCATTCTTTATAGAGCTTCATAGCCAAAGGCTTGTTTCAATGCTTTCCATGTTTTTCCAGATTAGACCCCTAGAAAATTCTATAAATTTATCTGAAATATGTGAATAAATTAATATTATGGAAAGTAACCTTTTTTCTTTGACAAGTCTACTATTGTATTTTGGAAATACACTAAGATCATAAAATGGTTTGGGTTGGAAGGGACCTTAAAGATCACCTAGTTCCAATCCCCCTGCACGGGCAGGGACACCTCCCACTAGATCAGGTTGCTCAAGGCCCCATCCAACCTGGCCTTGAACACCTCCAGGGTGGGGGCATCCACAACCTCCCTGGGCAACCTGTGCCAGTGCCTCACCACCTTCACACTAAATTTCTTCTTAATGTCTAACCTAAATCCACCCTCTTCCACCTTAAAACCCTTACCCCTCACCCTACCACTACACACCCTGGTAAAAACATCTCTCTCTTTAAAACATTTCTAGCCATCTCTTACACAAGGCCAGCAGAGCAGCACAAAGCCACCTCTGGTGAGATACTGTGCAGTCTCTTCCATACGATACAGCCATAAAAAGCCAGTAACAGATATGCATTGGCTGCCAAGCCATTCTGAGGTGAGTTTCACAACTCATTTTTGTTCTTTTTATTGTTTTCCTAATCACTAACTCAGAAATCCATATAAACTCAAGATAAAATATTAAAGATCCAATTATTTGTAATAGCCTTCATTACTTCTTACTGCATTTTCTAAATATTAAATAATCTTGTGCCACTTTTCCAGTTCATTGTGCTTTACAACTGTGCTGTGTTCTCAACCTGATATGAATCTGCTCATAATTAAATTATGATACAGTAGTACCCATGGATACTAATTGGTACCAGATTTAAAACATGAAGAAAAGGATTGGATAGCAAAATGCAACTGTCGTTTTTCTTGTTTGGGTGGGGGAGTCTTTTACCAAGGTTTAGGCTCAGAAAGTTGTTTTCATGTTTATCTGGAATAACAGATACAGGAAACCTGTGCTTCATAAATAACACTGACAAATGAATCACTTTGTTAGTATTTAGCAACAAGTACTGGGACATACTTTTTTGTTATATAAACATGGAATGTTTGTCAGCCTTTGCACAGCATGGCAGTTTTATGGCACAGTTCCTATCATCAGCAGTTTAGTACTACATATCAATGAAAAAGTATTCAAAGTTATATTCAGAACCTAATCCAGTTTTGCATGGTTGTGAGACTACTGTTGTGACTCCAGGTAAGCAACCCAGGAATGAAAGCAAGAGCAGAGTTTGGCAAAAAAAAAAAGCATAGCTGAAACTTTAGCACATGGTTGCTAAGTCCAGTTTTAGCCAAAAATATATACCTTGCATATCCTGGAAATTCTATTTTAAGAAGGCATAACCTAGAATCACTTGCTTCTCCCTGATCCCTTTCCTTTATTTTTCTGAATAAATTAAAACAAATTTGGTATAAAATAATTGCTACTTTGTAAATGATAAGTACTATAACATGTGCAAAGCCCCACAAACACAAACTAAACTATTAATAATTAACATTTGAAGTACCACTACCATCCTGCAGTATAGTCCATCTGAGTGATCACTAAAGAGAGATGACCCACAGTGTAAATCTGGCAAAGATACATGACTCCCACTACACTTAACTGTTTCAGATAAATTATTTGCTCTTCAGTTAAGCTGGATAAAAAAGTTACAAACATGACAACCTAAGAAGGACCTGACTTGCAGTGGTACCAGCAAGTATCTACCCTGCTGACTTAATTTAGAATCTTAGGTGTCTAGCTGGAAAAAAGCTGATACAACTTCACTTGAAGAACATTTGTAAAATGTCTTGACTGTGTAACTAAAAGCTCTGATTCTTAAGTCTTACTCAAGTAGAAGCAGTGACTTAATTTCTAACAGCTCATTTTATATGCTGAAGTACTTAGAAAAGTGTAATTGTTGTCTGTCATCATCTACTCTCCCTGTAATAATTTTACTGTTAATTTTTAGGACAACGAAAAGGATGCTACTTCTGAAAAGAAAGCTGAAATTTGCATGCAGTTTGTAACCTGCTCCCCTGATTGGTACATGCAACACACACCCTACAAGATGTCTTCCCATTTCCTTTGGAAAGCTTTATCAAGTGTGCTCCATGATTTAACTAGCACACTCCTGGATTCCTATCAGCCTATCCTGAATAGCTGAAATTCTGTATGCAGAAGACAAGCACCTCAAGCTCTTGGCCAGTTAAGCCCTTTACAGCAATGGCATTAAGGGTTCATTAACATCACATGTATACATTCATACTCTGTGTGTACCTTAAGCAGTGTGTTGGTCACACACACACAGGCATCAGGAGCCATAACACCAGACTTACATTGATTATGTGACTCTTGCACAAAAAGGTTATTAATGATTTTGAGGCCAAAGAAATACTGTAAACTGTATTTAAATTTGGAGACTTAACTGGCATAATTGTTCTGTATGAATCTCCTCTTTTGTGGACTAAATACTCATGATGGTTTTGAGTAAATATTGTCCTGTGTAAAAGGCAAGGTGACAGAATGCAAAATGTGTAAATAAATGCTTAGCTTTCATGATGGCAACAAGCTTAAGGCTTCAAGGCTGCATGGCTGGGCTCAATCACATATTTGGTAGTTACATCAAAAGGAGGGTCAGAGGCAGAAAACTTTGGTAATGTTACAAAGTTATTTTTCCTAATTGAAAACAAAGACATAAAAATAACAAGCAAGAAGAATGACTGAAAATACAGTCGTTAATAAATTTGCAGTGTAACTTAAGTAACGTATGTGAAAGAAGTAATTTCAAGTACTCACACACAAGGGCTCCAAATTAAAAGTATTCACCTAAAATAAGAGCAGGAGAATCTCTGTAATGTCACCCATGGAGCACAGGCCTCGAGTAACTCCTGTTAGAAAAGGGGAAGAGATGTCAGCAGTGGGGAAAGTTATCTTTGTCTGTATCAAACCTGTGCATGAATGTCCAGGGTAGAGCAACAGGAACAAACAGGGCTGAAAACTCCAATGAGATGACAGGTTCAAGTGAGTAGGACCATTTGCCTTGAATGTCAGCAAATAAATTGCTACACGCAAGAACTGGGAATGATCTTTGATTTGGATTACTAGATGACGTGCTAGAGAATTGTGCCCAGTTCTCTGAGCATCCAAGAATTTTAGCCAGGTCGTGCCAGTAACTTCACTCACTAGGTTTACATAAGCAAACTGTATTAATATTATCTGGCTGCTTTAGTACAGTTAACAACTGGTGAAATTCAACATATGCCATCACTTACATAAGGAGCAACTAAGTATCTAGCATTTGTCTGCTCTTCAGAGTTTCTATTGCTAAGCAAAGTTTGAAGACGAAAGACCAAACAAATGTCTTTAAATGCATACATCTGACTCTGAAACAGAAACAGGGAATAATAATATACAATCATTTTGCAGCTCCGTATTATTTTGGGATGTTCCAGCCACCAAACTTCCTGAACAACCTTTAAATGAGAAAGAGAGAGAGGAGGAAGCTTTGTATAAGCCCCTCAATGTTCCAGATACTTCTAAGCAGCTAGATCTCTACTGGAAACCTCTCATAAAGGTACTGCACACAAACATAGAAAAGAAGGCTCAAGTACTAGAACTCCATAGAAATTGATTCTTTTGCTTCCCAAGTCTTTAATTTTTCCAGCAAATCATGACTTCCTTGTGAATTTTCTTCTGATTATGAAAGACTTCAACATTCCTCTGAATCTTCAATAAAACACATTTCTGCCTCTTAAAAACTGCAATAGGTGCAAAAGTAGTTGTATTAATAGTGTAAGTTCTTGTCAACCTTTTCAGCTGCTGTGCTGCCTATCTCAGTGGGTCCCAAACTGTGAAACATGATCATGGTCAACAGAACCATAATTACTGGCACCAGTCAGTCTGATGAAAATGGTCATAGCAGTTGGTGAAAAAAGTGAGGCTGAAAATAATCTGTTAATTAAAAAAAAAAAAGTAATTTTGAACCTGCTGATCTGTGCTGCTCAGAATATCTGGAGCTGGCACAATTGTTGAACAGGCATGACCACTGGATCTGGTTTGGGGTTTTTTGTTTGTTTTGTTGTTGTTTTTTTCCTAGAAAGATGGCAAAATCTTTACAGTGAACAAATGACAAGAGAAAGCACAGATCTGAATTTCCTCTGTGCTTGCACATGAGGCTGCAAATACTATTTGTAGAGTATTACAAACACATTGCAAATGGAAACAAACCTCCTTCATTGCAGCAGAAAGTAATTTTGTCTTGTACCTCAAAGATCTGACAAAATTAATCATAGAACTATTCAGGTTGGAAAAGACCCTTGGGATCACCGAGTCCAACCATCATCCCTGCTCTACAAAGTTCTCCCCTAAACCTGATCCACCAACACCACATCCAAACAACCCTTAAACACATCCAGGGATGGTGACTCAACCACCTCAATGGGCAGCCTAAACCACTCTTCCTGGGAAAAAAAAAAATTCCTAATGTCTCGTCTAAACCTACCCTGTTGCAGCTTGAAGCCATTCCCTCTTGTTCTATCAAAGAAATAAGCAAATTATTTTTTTTCTGAACAGATAAACCTCTGTGGAGGTGATACCAACACAGCGCATGGTCCCATCAGAATTATTGTGAGGGAACTGCTTTACCACTACAGAATCTCAGGTAATATTTTTATTACACCTTATTGGGAAAAATATTTCTAGAAAGCTTGTATTTCAGTATATACAAAATGAAAGCTGAGTAACAAAATGCTTCTGGGGAAAAAGGTTTCTTAAATATACTGGTATTGACTGCAAGGATATGCACATGTATTGAACACAGAAAAGCAGGTCTGTGCCCACAGTCACTGCCAGGTTTCAATTAGTAGCCCATGCAGGTTACAGAATCACAGAATGGTTTGGGTTGGAAGGAATCTTAAAGATCATCTACTTCCAACCCCACTTCCTGCCATGGGCAGGGACACCTCCCACTAGACCAGGTGGCTCAAAATCCCATCCAACCTGGCCTTGAGCACTTCCAGTGAGGGGGCAAGTCACAGCTTCCCTGGGCAACCTGTGCCAGTGTCTGCCTGCCTCACAGGCCCCACCCATTCTCCTTATCCCCTAAAAAGTGTGTCCTTTCAGCCATTACAGAATAGGTTTTAGAAAAATAATCCTGGAGTAGCAATATATATTGCAGGTATTTCTGTAGTACTTTGGACAGATGTGTCAGTCTTTGGAAGTTAGCACTTCACATTCCATAGCAGATCACTTCTTATTATGGTACTTTATGGCAGGAACATACCACTAATCCCTCAGACTGCAGGAGGAGGGTTGTAGCATTCCATGGAGCAGAGATTTTAGCTCCTGGTAGCAGCAGCTAAGGGGGATGTGAAAGGGCAGTTCCCAGAGAGACAGGGATGCTGTGTAAAACTCGTGAAGAACAGAATGGTGCTACCCCAAGTTGTTTTCTGGGAATGGGAGACACTGACCTCAGAGAAGCTGCAGCAATGGGGAGATTCCACCAGGAAACAGTTATGGATAAAGGGAGTTTCAAGAAGAGATTAAGACTGCAGAACTGCTGCTTCACTTGGCAGTCTTTCTTCATCTCTCCTTGAAATTTCCTTTATCCATGAACTACCTTTGTATGACATAGGATTCACTTGGTCTGATAAATTCCAGTGTATAATAAACAGACATATCCCTACTTTTTCCCAGAGAAGAAGCAAGGTCTGAGAAAACTAGAAGTGCCTGGCAAAGACAGCCCATATACAGAGATAAGTACTTCTTCAAGCAAAAATCTGAAAGTGCTAGAGAATTTCTCCACCAACTTCTTTCTTGGAACTGAAGTAAGTGAAAATTATAGATTACTAATGAAAATGTGAATCCAAGATATCCAAAAGACTGAACAATTAAATAAGAGTTTTCAAAAATGTATGGACTTGCATGTTTTTTTCAGGTGTTAACTACATAGATCTTTTCAGACATCCCACATTTTTTTCCCATTTTAGTGTATTGAGCTACATGCTTAAAATAGTAATAAACCCCCAATACTTGGTAGATTATGAACCCTTATTCAAGACTTTTCCAAAATATATTGAACTTAACTACCTGCCATCAGGAACCAAACAGTAATTCCTTATTCCAGAACCCAAAAGGTTAATAACATGTTTTTAGTGTTTCCCCAAATGTCAGGTGAAAATGATACTACAGTTTTCCCCACAATTTATTTCCAATGTAGGGAGTCCCAGCTCTTCAAAGCCCTCTAGCTACCCTACTTAACTAAAATTCAAAAAAATTTCCAAGTTTTGAGTTCACGTGGAAATGAAAATTTGGATTCTAGATACCTTTTTGCTTCTGGTCACCTTTTCCCCAAATACTGGAGCAAAGCATGAACTGTAAAAACTGAGCACCTAATTCTGTAGGAGGGACTGCCTAAACACACCACGGTAAGTAAAGCTGTTCTGGCAATACAATGACTGAAAAATGCTGATCCAAAATGTTAGTGTTCTTTCAGTCACTGGCAGAAAACTTTAATTTTAATTTACTCAGAGCATATGTAATATTAAATGCATTTACTTAATTTTTTTGGCATCACAGGATGGAGAAATTATTTATTCCGACTGGAAAACTGAAATTCATAGTGACTCGGCAATGCAAGTTCGTAAGTAAAGAACCCTACTATGAACCCTAATAAAGCACTAACTTTAAAATATTTCCACTTGTACTCTGCCTTTCTAAGGTTCTTGCTCATCTGCTATAATAGCCTATCTCGCTGATGACACCAGGATTCAGCTGTGCAGCCTCACAGTGTATGCAGTTCAGCTCTTGTGACAGAACAGCAAAAGCCCTCCCCAGTATGACAGGTACATTGCCATGTACCTCTTGGCACAAATCACTGAAGTCACACTTCACAATAACTACATCTGTGGCAATTCCAAATACCTTGCAATACCTTATGAACAACAACAAAAAAGAGGCTATTACCTTTGAAGCCAGTGCTGGATCCTTTGCTCCAGTTTCCCCCGTGTAACTCCCACTGGGAAGACAATCACTAAACCCTTGTTCCAGCTAACTGCCTTTTGCATTCCATTAGGTCAGAAATACACCATCAACACTAAAACTATCAACACTCTCCAGAGATCTCCATTTTTTGAAGACATCATTCTAAGTGTTGGAGACCAGAATTTTGCCATTTGGAAAGAAGGGGTTACAGTAAGCCACTTTAACACAGCTGTAACATTACTGATAAATATACAAGACAGAACTATAATAGCTTCAGAATCTGCATTTTCAGAAATGTTTGTAAATCACAAAGCTTCAGAGTTTAGAAAGCAATTTGGTATAAGAAAACTATTTGAGAAGTAGCTTGGTAAACTTACCTTTTACAGAAAAAATGAAGTGAGCTTCTTCAATTCCAACCTTGTAAAAACTGTAGCTTCTCAACAAATTGTTTCTGCTGCTAGGGGAACTGGAGAGCAAAGGCAGCATGTGCTAAACAGGTCTAAAGAACTTCTATTGAGGATGCAGTCTTTTCATCATCTGAAGACATCATCTGGGAGGTTTTTTTCAGTTCCTCTCATGTAGGAATCCAGGTTAGCTGCACCTGGCAAAACCTCAAGATCACAGATTTTAAAAACAGATAGATTACCTTAAGAGACTGAAAGTGAGATACCACTTTTTGTTACTTTCCCAGCAAGATTGCCATTGATATTTTTGTAATAGGATCATATAAATTGTAAATATTCTTAAATTACAGGAGATTGTAAGCAACAAATAGATAGTACTGTTTGACTGTTGTGTCTATCTTTTGTTTTCAAACCAATTAAGAATGGACCAATCCTTAAATCAAGCTGCTCTGCTGGAAGAAACACTGTGGGACACTGGTCCTTAACAAGACCAGGAGTTTTCTTCATTGGCAGAGACGATGGGAACATACACATTTGGGACTTACTGAAGAAAACTCATGAGCCATCTCATTTCCAGAACATCTCTAAATCAAGGATCACTTTCATCAGCCCCTGGACTGCCTCACGTATGTTGATGGTGACTGCACTTTGCTGAGCCACCCTCTTTGCAAAATGGCCCATGGCAGGCACAGATCTTTTTACAGATGATCTTAAGTACACGCATACATCAGTTCTAAATGTACAACCATGGCATAAAGCAAATTAAAACATTTAATAAAAAAAAAACAACAAACCCTGAAACAGTATAAACTTTAAAGCAAATTTAATTTGTTAAGAAAACGAGAGAGCAGTAAAGCTGCCTTTTTGCTGCAGTGAACAACAAACTAAAAAGACCACTACAAAAATGAGTACCCTGTAGCTCCTGTTTGGGTGGAAGTAGATGTTGTTAGAATTTAGATTGCTTTTTTTTGTCAAACACCTTTCAGCAAAGGAGCATTTTTTAGCTGTTTCTGATGATCTTGGAGTACTGCATGTTTTGGAGATCTGCCAGACACTAAGCGACCCCCCGGAGAATGAGGTTGGTAAGAATTTTTGTTTATCTCTGTGACACTTTATCCTGAAAAGTTCAGCACAGAAACAGGCCTGCCTGGAAAAACTTGTCTTCAAATGGATGGCAGTTAATTTGAGACCAGTATGGTCATATTCTCCAAAGATCACCTGTAGCAAAGTTGGCTTTGCACAGAGCTCAGATAGGAGCCACCTAAAGGGTGACACCCTAACTGGGTGACAGTTGGCAGAATTCCACTGTTCCAACCTGGCAACATGAAAACACAGTAAAGAGTTCAGTACTTTTTGCCACGTGCATAAAATGACACCTGCTTGCATGCATTAAAACAATGCTATACAGTGCATAGCTATGTGAATATACAGAATTTCTCGTTCTTTACAGCTTCTTTTCCATATTTGTGCTGATTTTTTTCCTGTAAATTTGGCACTTCAATTTACACCTCTTAATATCTGGTTCTAGCTTAGTTAAAGCACACTTTGGAAACTGTTACTAGCACTACCACTCATGCATTCACGTTTGAAATATGGACTATGTATACCAAAGCACCATGGGAACAATGGAAACAGTTGTAATTTCTCTTTATTTCCACATCACTTTCAGTTGTTCTTTTTCACCACCTCCAAGTCAAAGTCTTGCCTGGTACCTTGTCTGTTATTTTTACATCACAGAATCTTCTTCCTGTCCTATCCCAGTTTTCAGTTGTTTAGGTATGCACTTATATAGTTTACAAACATCCCATAAAGGTTTGCTGCATGCAGAGCTACAGTATGTAGCAATATAACACTAGGTCAGAAGTTTAATCTCAGTAAAAGTAGCTTCTCTAAAGCAAGATAGGAGCTAACTGCAGTATTTACTGCAAAATAGTAACTTGTTGAAGAGTCTAATGAAAACTAAAACACAGAACACCAGATAAATGTATAGTGTAACACTGAAGAATGGTATTTTATGGTTTCTTTGTGCCTTAAGTTGGGTCAGTGAGGATTTGGACTGATTCAGTGAGATCACTAACCTAAAACTGGTTTAGTTATTCAGTCTGGGTTCCTGAACGATGATCTGCTCAAAGTCAGTGTAATAAAACCTGTTGAACCCCAATGCACATTTGTATGCAAAATCAATCAATTTCATTCATCTTTATGTTGTTTTGCTGCAAATAATCTGGATATAGGTAAACTAATACCACCATTCAGATCATCAGCAATAGTTCTGTGTCTGTTTCATTGTGTTAACAGGATGCCAACTTACTTGAATATTTTGAAAGAGAAGTCAAGTATCTGAATCACTGTGAGCAAGAGTTGCAAGAATATCAAGAGATTCAAGCCAAAACAGAATTGAAACAGAGCTGGAAGAACAGAGGGAGAAAATAGTATGTTATACTTAGAAGTAAGCAATCTTTATTTGGGTCTTTAAAATGCACCTGTTTTTCTAGGTGGGATTTCCCACATCATTTTCAAAAAACAGGATGGACATAATCAGAATAGTTTAGCAGCTCCTTTTTCATATTTACAATTCTTAGGAGTAGAATAGTTGCTCCTGCCTTATGTAAGTTCAGCTCTTGGGCAAGGGAAAATTCCTGCCTATGGACACATAGCTACTATGAACTTGCTTTTCTTTTTACACCAGTTGCTGGTTCAGAAAGTTATACTTCGGCAAATTTCCTATAAACATTGCTCCTTTGAGCAAGGAGGGACTCCAGCCTTCCATTCTTTATGTAAGGATTTTGCTTACCTATTCTTTGGTCAATGGTTTAATAATACCAACTAATCAACCAAGGAAATGACAATTCAGTTAATGTAGCCCTAGGTCATAACTATTTTCATTCATTTGTGATAGCACTGATCCTATTTATTGCAAAGCAATGGAGTCACATACAAGTTTGAAACCTTAACTGGTGTGTGTTTTCCCTTCAGAGTATAACTGCTCTGCAGAAAAAAGAAAATGGAGGAGCAAGAAAATGCAGACTATACTGTGGTTCTGGACTTGGGAGAAGCAGATACTAACATTTTCAGGACTAGTAAAGGGACAAGAAATACTTCCCTCATCAGATGCTTTGAGCCTATCCTCACCTTTAGAACCAGTGAGCTTTTTATTCTGGGACCTCTTTATTTCAGCAGAACATATTTAGCTTCAGAAATAAAGCATTTTGCAGTTAGAGATTATTGTTTCATTAACTTTATACATTTGTTACCCACAATTTGGTTAGAGAACAACTGTTTCGGGCACACTTTCCCCACTATCTTTCACTAATATAGTTATAGTGAATATTCTATCTGTTTAAATAACAATTTTCAAAGTTCTGCATCTGTCAGGACTCTATAAACTGTAAAAGTCTTAAACACAACTCAGCTGGTCAAACCAATGTGTCAAAATTCATGCCTCCAATCTACATCCACCTGCTCCAACCACAGGGGAAGCCATTCTACTCTGGTAGTTCCATTCACACTGGCCACCCAAATTCTGCTGCTCAGCTCCAGCAAGCATGTGCCCTCATCCCTGAAGTACTGACTGGTCTTGAAATCTTAGGGACAACAGCAGAGTTTTCTTGAGATGTCCTGAACATTTCCTGATGTGGTGACAGCATTCCAGAGCAAACACGGCTCTCCTGTGCCTTGTGCAGCCCCATGTCCCTGAGCACACAGGGGCTCAGGGAGAAGGGGAAGCACACAGGCACCTCAGATGGCCTCAACAATCACAGTAACACAGGAGATTACTCACAAAAAGCTGAACCAAATACACAGATCTAACTACAAACTATCTACAAACACTTTAAACTTTGCAGGCTGAACCACTTTTACTTGCCATCATCAGATTAGAAAATGATTGTTACTTAAGCCTGGCAAATGCTTAAAAAATGAACACCAAAGCCATTAAAATATACTCTTCCTTCAAAGAAATCAGTATTATTTAGTACAAACAGTTCTTACCAAGCACACCGAGACTGTCAAATTTCTGTCAAAAGACAGTTACTCTTGAGAGAGATCAAATGGTGTTATACAGAAGCTTTAATATTTACCAGAGCAAAAGAGAAACAGCTCATGAACGTTAACGTCCATGCTCCATCCAGAGATTACTCTTGTAAGCAGAGTTCTGCTGGCTGCTTGGTTTCAAGCACCAGGTCAGACACTGTGTAACTGAGCAGAGCCCGTCAAGTGGAAATTAAACCTACCAGAGAACAACAGAATAAACTCTGTACGGGTGAGTTCA